AAAAAAAAAAAAAAAAAAAAAAAGTAGGCGCTTTCGAGACACTCACCCCGAGCTGCAGCACCTTCAGGGGGTCCCCGTCCGAACGCTTACACGCGGCGCACATTCCCACGAGATGGGCCGCATCGGCATCCGACAGGACGGTTGGAACTACCGCCCACGCCTGAACCCAAACGAAAAGAGCAGCATCAAAGTCAGGCAGGGGGGCAGATGGACGTGTGTCGCTTCAACGGTCTCTCCGCAAAGAAAAATGTTTGCTCTACAAAGCGGAAGAATGCTTGAAGCCGCGGATGACCTCATTGTGGGGAAATGCCGAAGTGTGAATTTTATCAAAGGGCGACACCGCAATTGAGCTCTGTGAGCTCCAAGTGTACGACAGCAGAATGAAGTCACCTCTCGAACAAATGCACCTAGGTACCAAAGAGGAGCAGACTAGAAGCTCTGGCTGACAACGTGCGGCGTCTGCCACTCTCCTGCACTAGTTGCCGAAACTTCGTGGAAGCTTGTTGGATTGTCCAGAAAGCCAACCACCAAGAAGAATATGACAGGAAAAAAAATCCCTCTCCCTCCAGACCACTCATTTCAGGAACAAGATTTACGGCTTGAAGCCGATAGACACTACTTCCAAGTTATTGTGCTTGTAAAAATGCCGCGAAGCGTCATCAATCAAACTCCCGTATATCCATATGCGGATAAAAATCCGAAACACTTTGACGTCTGAATAGGAGTCGGCTCGCACCCCTGTTAACCCCCGCCTTCACCTCAAACCACGACGCTTCGGCAACGGCCCCGTCTGCCACCGCCTGGAGCCGCTCGACCACCGCACTGCTCACGACCACCTTCTCTAGGAGCACAGCATCGGGGTGTCTATCCCTGACAAACGCGTGAAGCTTGCGCACCTGACGCCGACCGCCGCGTTACGATGGGGCGCGAGCACGACAAAAAGTCATGCACAGGGGCGATGATTGAAAGCTGCATTACTTAGGGCGATGTCATCTGTCTTATCACCCGCACCGCAGCCAACTTTCATATCCCTCACAACAATATCACGACCTCGCCAATGCCGTCAGTCCTCTCAACACTCGGAGTACCGCTATTTGCTTGTCCGCTCTGGTAGGCGGAACTTTCAGCGCTCACAAACACGCAATAGCTTTCGTGGCGCTGCGGTGGTGGAGAGCAAAAAAAAAACGAAAAAAGAGCACACGATAAATGACCTACGACAACGACAACAGAGGGTGATCGAAAATAGCGCAACGAGGGGTGGGGATTGGGGGCAGAGTGAGGGTCAACACCCCAAAAATTCGGTATGAATTCCATTCCATGTGCACGACGCAAGATGTACGTAGGATATCCTGGCACCGTCCGCTTGTTTTGTCTGAACCTGCAGGGCTGATGCGGTGGCGTGGTCCAGGTAGCCGTTCGCAGAGAAGAAGGCGTGCGCGGCTTCGTGCTGGGCCGCCACAAAGGAGCCCGGAACGTAAACTTGGGCACCACGCGCACCGCCAGCGAGCGACCCCTCGAGCTGGCCCGACTGGCACCGCGGCGTCCACCGTGTGGCATGGGTACGGTCAGCGAGAGATTGGAAGGAACAGTGTAGAAGTGTAGGCACCACTACGAGACGGAGAAGTAGGGTTCAAGTTGACAGAACCGCGGGACGCGTGTGTGCGAGACTGGTGTCCCGTCTCCAGGAGCATGAAAAGCAATGTGCTACCACGTGCCCGGTACATACTGCGATAAACATTGCACCGCAGTAGCGAGAGCAGTGACAGGTTTACCCTGCAATAGAAATGAAAAAAAAAAAACGGCTGGGTTGGAGGGGGTGACTCATGTGGTTACATCGCGCACCCGAGAGACGAAAAAATACTTCACAACCCGTAACACAACACTCTAGATCGACAACACCCTTCCTGATGACGGAACTGACGGTCAACAAGCTTTCTCTCGGGGGCATGGGCGTTGCAGCAAATCGCTTAGGGTGGGCAGATGGCGTAGAAACCGATGCCACAGTCAAGACAAGCCCAATCTGCAGGAAAGACCTGACATAGAGGACAAGAGCCAATCCTGGACGATCCAGCCAAACTAAGGGATATGAATCCGAGGGATCCGGGTAGGACGATGCCTAGTGGGCCTCGGGGTCAATTATAACGTGCCGCCTCACCTTCGTCAACTCGGTTAGCAGCTCGAGGGCCATCTCTTCCTCCTCTGGGTGTAGGAGAGCACAGTCTTGCATCAGCTCTTCGACCGAACGCGGCTCCGTCGCAGCGCAGCAAATCGAGCATAACTGAAATGGTGTGTAGCGGCACATGGACGTGTTCGATTAGACTTGTTGTGCCAGCGGTTTCGAGACACACGCAAGGCAACCGGGCGTGGTGTTTGCTACTGCTATTGTTAATTTTCAAAGCAGTTGCACCGCGCAAGCGAAAAGCGAAAATCTTGCAACCACACGGCACCACATCCATCCATGGAATCACTCAAAAAATGGACAACGTCGCTGCATACGCATTGACGAATAGGTTGTTCTACGGGAGCGTTTTCGAACGCTGAGACGAAATTTTATCCGCACACGAAAAGCATCATGTCCTATTCCCTTCTTCCGAAGGTTTAGGAAGGAGATGGCATCTACCCAAAGGAATAATTGAACGGACTTGTACAACTGAGCATTTTGGTAACTCGCTGCGTAGAGACCTGAGCTTCCCAACACTACAAGCATACCCTTAGAATAGCGTTGGTCTGTAACAACGACGGGTACAGCTGTGAATGTTGTACTGTCAGTGATTCTCACCTCGGCTCGTTTCGTCGTTTCGTAGGCCTCCGTCACGAGGGCCCCGCTCACTAGTTTGAGCTTTCGCGCCGTCATGAGGTGGGATCCTGGGTCATGCATCCATTCCGAGACTAGAGTCCTTGTGAACTGTTCACGACAACATGGCCCAAAGGCCGGGGGGGGGCTCTGAGCGAGGTTATCGAACGGATTCTGCTATTGTAGGTCGAACTTGAGCGAAGGCGCACGCCAAACCAGTAGGGCGTTGGATATGATCAGACCAATATTCAATTTTTCCCAACCTAGGGCAAAAGGAACAATCATATCGACACGTACCACCCCTTTCAACCTTCGCCGCAAATGCCGATGGTGTTTGTGGTGTCGTGGTCGCGACGATTGATCGACCAACCACTCTGCTACCACAGGCAGCACGACAATCTTTACCTCGACTGGAAGCTTGAGAATTGGCGCCAATTCTTGCACTGAAATCCGCCCTCGTTCGGCGACAGCTGTACCTGCCTCGAGAGCCAGAGAGGATAGGTATGCGCTGGAAAAGACCTCAAGTCCTTCTTCGCACTGAAACCAGCGGCCATGCAGCTGTTCCGTCCAAAACTCCCTGACCGCTGCTCTAATAGTCGTTTGACAAACGCCGGTGGCAACCTGGACAAAGCATTTGGCGGTAGGGAGTACAGGCATGGAGGAGGGGGAGGGCATTTCTCATAAAATACAAGGATAGGTAGTGCTGCGTGTAGGTTACGAGTGTCACATTCCTAAATGCACCTTCGACGCTAGAATCGTTGCTCAACTGATAGCGTAGTAGAGACGATATCGATGTGAGTGGTGCCATTCCGCTACGATATTACTGTCGAAAGTGTCCAAGCATGGTGTGAGCAAATACGTACTGAAGCATATCTTTTCTCGAGGCCCCGTCTGACTTCTCGCAATCCGACACAGGGCACTCATGCACGTATAGAGTACGCGAGTGCCTCCCCGTCCGAAAATTGGCTTCCTACTCGTTTCTTGGCGATGTATGCGGGAAGATGCCCCACTTACATATTATGACGTAGACCCAGCTCCATCCACGCCATACACGACACGAACAGGTAGGTGTCATTGTCCACCAAGACAACTCAATTTGGTGGAAGCGTGGTCAGAGACCATTTGGATTGGCTCACACGCCAAGAAGATCGAGTTACGACTATTCCAACAGCTGAACCACACACCTCTAACTCATGAGACGAGGCTCGTCCTCCGGCAGTGTTGACGACACTCACAATGTCGGCTCTCAGTCGACCCGTAGTCACGATCTCTCCGCCATCTGCTGTTGTGGTAGCCTGACCGCACACATACGGATGGGGAGAGTCGAGAGATGAGACACTTCGATCTTATTTTCATCGGGGTGTCGTACACATAAATAGTGTGCAAGACCCTGTGCAGTCAGTCTACACTGCGTCCACTGAAATTTGACTGAGGAAGCAGAACGACGCAAAAGAAGCACACAGCAGCAGACTTAAAGGTCAACCTACAAGGAGTCGCCACTACTGTACTGCTGTATGCTACGCGATGTATAGTTGTCAGTGGCATCACAGCTGTTGTACGTAGTTAAAACACCTGTGCATACGTTGTGCGTATGCTTGTGGCAAAATACCTCGACGAGGCCCTTCATTTTCTCCAGTAAGAGTGACACATGATCCGAACCCAGAGATGCTCCAGATGACATTGCGCTGCTAGTCAACGAAGTCAAGGACAACTTGGCCCAAGGATGTGCGCGATGCTCGAGAACGTGAGAAGCTGCTGCTGGTTGCTGTGGTCACGCCGCATTTTTGGGTTTCGAACACCGAAGCGTTATTGGGCGGGAGAGAGAACCCTACACGATCGTTTGACAGTTTTGACATATCGATCGGGTCGTTGTATGTCGAGTACACCATGGCCGACTCGAATGTCATAGAAAAGCTCATCAAGAAACGTCTGCAATCGGCCCCTAGGAAGAACAGGAGACCAACGACCAACCCGCGCGTTGGGTTGACTGGTCGCACAGGATTGTGGTCGTAAACCCTGCCGCCCCACCCGCCTCTCCGTGGAACACCAACTCCTATCTGTTGTCCCCCTCTCCGGCTGCCACTGCAGCTGCGCCACGTGTGGCACTGCGTCAGGAGGTCGACGTCTCCGCTGAAGCGCTGCCACGGACTTCTTGTTTGGCTGGAGCTATTGAGAGCATTTTAATTCTGATCAAGTGAGTGACGGTCTCTGTCTGTAGTCTGACTGGTGCACCACGCATGTTTTTCATGTTTTCCACTGCTGCTGGTCGCCTCTTCTGCAACGTACCCCTGTGCCCCTTTGCCTGCAACCTGTGGCTTGCCTCGATTACATGGCCTGGGTGTGCATGTTCCCTCACGGTTCGCGCTTGTCGAGGATGCTCCTACTTACAGCAGTAGCATATGTTTCGATGTCGTCTCCTACCACGTTTCGCGTGTGTGTTGCATCCAATGTACCGATGCAGAACCTCGAGCAACAGAATTCGCGGGATCTCCGACACGGCAGTTGTACCTTTTAGCAGTCCATGCATAATTTCCTGCTGCCATTTCCTGTGGTCGTGCCCACGTGGTGTTAGGGGTATCTGAGAGGATGAGGCAGGCTGATTCTGGGCCGGCCACGACCACGCATGCGCGTGTTTGCTGCTGAGGCAATGGCCGACTACAGAGCGTGCAAGGAAGCGCATGGTTTACTTCTGAGTGTTGAGTATGCATACATGGTGTATTGTTGTACATCGCAGTCCACACACACCTGGTGATGCCAACTGTAGGTGCAAGTGAGCGATGTTGCCGCGGCCGTGATCGCCGTTGGTGGTCCCCCTGCCTATGCAAGCGTCACAAAAAAGGTGGCGGCACATGTGCTAAGTCTCAAGTCCGGCCTTATGCATGTGGGCAAAGTTAAAATTACCTGCTGAATCTTTGACGACGGTGCAGTCGCGGTCTTGCACAGCAGCAGTGGTATAGACCTCATGTACAGCGCGCAGACTTTTTGTGCGTGTTGCGACCAAGCTCTCGGCTTTTCGTTCCGGGATTGCGACGGCTAATTCGCACATGCGTGTCCTCGGCACTGGCTTACCCATATCAACCATCTCTTGCATCACAGCAGTGTTGTTTACTGCAAAAAAAGGCAAGTCTTGAGTCGTCATCCTCCATTGCATTCCCGGGCTGCAGAACTCTGCTTTCTCGATCTCTCACATAGGCAGCGAGCGCAGCGGAAAGAAAAAACATTTAGACTTTGAGGGTGGTCCCCCAATACTCAAACAAGGTAAAGTTGCCTCATTTTACTTAAACGAAAAAAATATATATTACAGGACTAGCACCTTCTACGGTAAAAATATTATTAATTTATATTTTTGTTCACTCTTTATTTATAATAGCTTTTCAGTTATTTTATATTATCGTTTTGCCTTTTTATCGCTTTCGCTTAAGTAAAATAAGCAACAGCGACTAGTAAAGGAAGGACAAGGTCAATAATATTTAGAAGAATAGTTAGAAAAGTTAGCTACATTTCTTGAGGGGACAGCGGCATGCGGAAGCAACAGCAGACACGCAACGTCTCGCCTTGGCCTGATCTCGATTCAAGCTCAACGCTAGCAGCGTTGTCTGCAGGAAACAAAAGACAAACGACCAAAAAAATACACGGGCAAGTATTGCATAAATTTAGTGGTCAAGACACATGGGTCGAGAAAACGCCCAGTGCCACGCCTCCCTCACAAACACTCCGACCGACTCGCCTCGCGAAATCTGTTCGATTGACCATCACCCTCCACACGGATTCCTCTTCGTCACTGCTGTACATGCCCATCGCGAAAAAAACAAAGCTCTCGGAGGAAATAACGCCCCAAGGCACAGCTGTAGGAACGGATATTCTCGATAAGAGCGTGGGACGAAGTCATGGGCAACACCGACAGGAGAGGGCCGGAGATATCAGACGGATGGCAGGGCACGAGTGAGGACGGTTCCAACGTCGACACGTCCAGCGGGGGCCCCCTGAAGGTGGCCGTCATTGGCGCAGGCGTCGCGGGCCTAGGTGCGTATACGTGTGTTTGTGCGATTTTCTTGCGATCGACGTACCAAAACATACAGTAGTTTTGAGAACCTTGTAGTCATCTGTTTATATAGAGGCGACGGGGTTTGGGGTTTTGATCATGTCGTTCGAAGACGTTATCGTTGGCGTCATCTCATGGTGGTACCCCACATCGAAAAAACAATCGATGCCGACTTGATGGTGGGATTTTTTTCCGGGGGAAGTTGTGCCGTCGTTTCTGAGGATGTGGTCGTTGGTGTGGTCTCGTACAGATGGCATACCCATGTCATGAAGTACGAATTAATCGGTGAAGTAGATGCGGCCTTGATGGTATGGAGGAGATTAGTGTTCTGCGGTCTCGTGTCGTGTATCGTGTGGCGTGTGTCTCCTTTTCGGGCGGAGATCGCATGATTGCTGCCGACGCTGCTGTTATTCTCGCCCGTCGCAGCCGCCGTGCTGCCGGCGTCAGTAGCTCCTCGCCACTCTCATTACCCGTGGCGCGCCTTCCTTAGATGGGTGTGTTAGACTCCGTAGAGACGCGGCCTTTGCCCTGTAAATAGCGCAGGTGACGTAAGGTACCACACCCCGTCGACCGGAATTAAAACGTTCGATTGCTCCACGACGAAGAGGGTGTACAAATATGACGACACGTTTTCGGAAAAGCTCTGGAGGAGATGGTTCCAACGCCGCCATTGCCGGCACCACCACTCTCCCCTGCTGCGGATCACTCAAGCCTTAAATATCGGTCCAGGGGGGTATGATATCTTACGTCACCTACGGTACGTGGCTTCCCTGGCCACGAGTCCACGCAGCGAGCATCAGGTGTGCAGCCAACCATTCCGCCTGACAATCGCACCGTTCCCCCCACGCAGGCGCTGCGTGGCATCTTTCCAGCTCTCCCAACATCAGGGTCACCGTGCTGGAGGCCGAAGACAGGGCCGGGGGGCACGCCCAAACGCTGGACCTCAACCTCGATGAGAAAATCGTTCCCGTCGACACCGGGTATGGTAAAGGATATGGCCGTCCCTTTCGCACCGACCCAACACACTCGTTACTCGCGAAATTCCGCAAGTATTGTCGACGCGTTCATGAATGAAGGGGGGCTTGTGGTTGGAGTTGGATGGCGGGAGAGCGGTGTTATTGTGCCCTCCGACTCTTCTCAGTCCGCTGTGATTGGCCAAGGGGTTGTCATGGGACTGTATCGTGGGGAGACGATGCTTTCGAACCAGGGCAATAATGCTAGCCCTACAAATAGATGGTGTGAGGGAACACTCGAGATAAAGTATCGGTTTACTCTTTTCGGTCGCGTCGCGTAACGTGCAATGTGCGCTAACTACTGCGAGCGTAATGCCGTTCGATCGACTTGGTTTTCGGAAGGTTTATGGTGTTCAACGAGCAGAACTACCCGAACATGGTCCGCCTCTTCGAGGAGCTCGGCGTTGGGTCGGAAAAGACAGACATGTCCTTCAGGTATGCGGAGTTATGTAAATAGTTGCTGCTGCTGTACGGGTATGCTTCTGCCTTCATGACGTTGCGGTGGTGGTGATAGTTCTGATGGATTATTTTATTCAGGGAACGAGTATTTAAGTCGCAGGGCGGTCGAAAATACTTGCCACGAGGTTCGCATGCCTATGTCGCTGCGCGTTTCCGATGCGATCAAGGCCTCGTTTTTTTTAGTCGGTATGAAAACGCATGACATGACCCTCGTTGTTGTTCGCTGCGACACAGACAGAGGTACCATTTTGGTGCTCAAATTAGCTGCCTGATCGATCCAAGCTGTTACTACTTTCGTTTCCTCCACACCAGAGATATCGCTCCCTCGGCTGTCGTTGACGTGGCGTGTTTTTTTTTTTTTTTGTGGTGTCCGCCAGCGTCAGCTTGGACGACGGGGACGTGGAATGGGGCAGCGAGGGACTGTCCTCCCTCTTCGCCCGCAAGAGAAACGTTCTGTCGCCGGGTTTCTACGGCATGCTGCGGGAGATGGCCCGGTTCAACCAAGAGGCGCCGCGCCTGCTGGAGCTCGACGACGAAGACCCTCGCAAGGTTTGTTTGCATCCTCCTCTTGACGAGAGCACCTTACCCTTGTACGCGAGCGCGTATGGTACGACGCCGGATAGCTTATCGTGGTGTGTGTGTGTGTTTTTTTTTTTTTTGCCAGGGCCCGACCTTGGTTTTGTCGGTGACACATGAACAGTTTCACCCCCACGAGTTAATTAGCCCCCTTGCTGCTGCTGGACTCCGGGCTGTCAAGCCGCCGTTCGGCTTCCTCTTCACACGAGAGCCCCTTCCCCTTGTACGCGAGCACGTTCATCTTTCGCGCGGAATAGTTGCTCGCGATGTGTTTGTCGCTGGGGCTCGACCTTTGTTTTTGTCATCACGCAAGAACAGCAGGTTCACCCCAAAGTTTTAATGTGGCGCTTGCTGCTGCTGGACTCCGGGTTGTCAACCCGCCGTGCGGCTTCTTTGGTGTTAACCTCGTTAAGACGTTTCTGTTTCTTTTTCCCGTTTCTTTATCCGCTCTCCTGTGACGTGCGGCACAGCTTGCCGTCGGTGCGATGTCGCCCTTTACCTCCAGCCCGCCGGGCGTCAGCACGGAACGTGGTGTGGAGCTAGTTGGTGGAAACGGTTTTCCGTTTTCATTAGCACAGCGACGAAACAGCGAAGCAACAAAGTAATCAATCAACACAAATCCCAGAAATCATGCGGACATCCGCAAACCAACCTTGCGCTGAACTGAACACGCAAGAAGAGAACACGTTCGCGTTTTTTTATTTCTGCACGGCTGCTGTTGCACGGTCCGTGTAAGAACGCCTTACTCCTGCTTTTTCCAGTCGGTGAATGAGTGCGATATATATATATATATATATTGCTCCGCTACTGCTGTTGCATAGGCCGTGTAAAGGAACGCTCTGCCTCCCCTTGTTCCGTGTCCATCAGTTGATGAGCGTTCGCGTTATTTTTTTTTGGCACCTCTCTGCTGTTGCACGGTCCGTGTAAAAAGAAGCCCTGCCTCCCCTTGCTCTTGTGCGTCAGTCCGTGAGCGTGAGGGAGTACCTCAAGGCCAACGGCTTCTCGGAGGCGTTCGCCCGTTACTACCTCGTGCCGATGGCGGCGGCGCTTTGGAGCAGCACGGCGGCGGACGTGATGGGCCACAGCGCCCTGGCCATGATCAGCTTCTTCCACAACCACCAGATGCTCCAGG